GTATAATACTTATGGAGAAATTTACATTTTTTGTAATAGTATTAATTTCGAATTTTTCTTTTACTGTTTATTAACTTTATTAATTGAATATTGTTAATCTATTTGTATATTATGTTTTGTTTAGCTTCACAACATATTTAAAATTGGATTTAATAAAATATATTAATTAATAAATATATTTTATAAATTATATGTATTATAATAAAAATTTAATTAGGTTAGAAGATTGATTTGCTTATTTTTATATAATTTTTAAGGTTAGATATCAACAATGCTTAGTGATCATAGTAAAAACTTATGCTTAGAGCTACTAATAAAAAATATTTTTGGAACCTTACCTATATAAGTATTTTCTGGGGTCCTCTTCTAACGTTCCCTATGAGACCATTGGCATGTACGCAGTCCTGTCCTTGAGGTCACTACTATACCTTGAGGGGAACTTCCTGTTCGGATGGTCACTCTACAATACCGCTTGGGGTCAGTAATGGCTAGATGGTCATCCTAGATGGTAAAGCTGAGGGTGCAATGTCTTAGTGGTAGTTTGACCTTCTGTTAGGTCTTAGGCCAACCAAGGTGTTCATGCACAGAACAGGTAGCATGGTTATGGGGTTCGATTCTTTACTCTTTAGATCCTGGTTGGTGATCCCTGGTGGTTGATACCCACCATAAGGGGTGATCCTGGACAGATGCCTGCTACTTCCTGTCTGAATGGTCACTACAAAGTATATCACTTGGGGTAAACAACTGTACTATCGGTGCTAGGTAATCGCGGACTGTAGTGGCCTTTGAATGAGACTTAGTACCTAAAATGGTGGTATGGAAGGGTACTAGATGGTTGATGTTACCTGTTGAAAGTCCTCCATGAAAGTAGGTGCTCTCTAAAGGTCGTAAAATAAATTGAGTACCAGTATCATGCAATGGATTAAAAATGAGTAACCGGCGTGTACCTAGCTTCAGATCAGCCTAAAATGGCACAATGGGAATGTCTTCTAAGTGGTGCTGTTACCTAAGGAATTAAGTACTCAGTATAATGGTTGCCCATGGAGATGATAGAACACAGACCCGAGATTAGTCTTATAAGAGGCAATGGGTGGTCTGGCTGTAAACACTAGCAAAGTAAAAGGATAAAACTAGGGGTTGATCACCCCTTTTCAGTGGTAAGTGACTGAGACCCTCATTAAGCCAGAGTATGGTGAGGTCGCAGGTTCAATTCTGCCGATCATGGAAATTAAACAAATTTTACTGCGGACGCTACAACCAATAGCGTGAAAGTACAGGGATTAGCGTAATTGGACTGCATCATGATGAATTAGTGTGTACAGTTAGGCTGCACATTTCAACTAAGGGTCATGTTGTCCTTCTAACGTTCCCTATGAGGCCATTGGCATGTGTGCAGTCCTGTTCTTGAGGTCACTACTATATCTTGAGGGGACTTCCTGTCTGGGTGGTCACTTCACGATACCGCTTGGGGTCAGTAATGGCTAGATGGTCGTCCTAGATGGTAAAGCTGAGGGTGCAATGTCTTAGTGGTAGTTTGACCTTCTGTTAGGTCCTAGGCCAACCAAGATGTTTGTGTACAGAACAGGTAGTATGGTTATGAGATTCGATTCCCTACTCTTTGGGTCCTGGTTGGTAATCCCTGGTGGTTAATACCCACAATAAGGGGTGATCCTGGACAGATGCCTGCTACTTCCTGTCCAAGTGGTCACTACAAAGTATACCACTTGGGGTAAACAACTGTACTATCGGTGCTAGGTAATTGCGGGCTGTAGTGGCCTTTGAGTGAGACTTAGTACATAAAATGGTGTATGGAAGGGTACTAGATGGTTGATGTTACCTGTCAAAAGTCCTCCATGAAAGTAGGTGCTTTTTAAAGGTCATAAAATAAATTGAGTACCAGTATCATGCAATGGGTATAGGATGAGTAGGCGGTGTGTACCTAGCTTCAGATCAGCCTAAAGTAGCCCGATAGGAGATGTCTTCTATAGTGGTGCTGTTACTTGAGGAATTAAGTACTCGGTATAATGGTTGCCCATTGAAGATGATAGGACCCGAGATTAGTCTCACAAAGAGACAATAGGTGGTCTGACCGTAAACACTAACAAAGTAAAAGGATAAAACTACTACCATTCGATTCGTCTCAGTAAGAT